CGGCGGCGCCGCGTCCGCGGGGATTTTGGGGGCTCACCTGGAAAGTTGAGAGGTGGACGTGAGCCCCGTGGCTTTTCCTCCTCACCGCGGTGCTTCAAAGCTCTTAAAAAAAACCCCTAATTTAGCTAATTTGATAGAAAACAGGACGCGAGCGTCGCTCAGTCCGCAGCTGCTTAATTCCCTAAAAAATTATCCGCTTAATTCCCTAAAAACCCCCCATTTAAGCCCAGTTTTCCCAGCAAGCCAGCTCTCAGCACGTCAGCCCGCGTTTTCCCAAAATTAGCTGAATTAAATTCAGCTAAAAAGCAGAATTCAGCCTGATGGACCCTCGTTTTTGGGAAGGAACGGGCATTTTCCCCAAATTAGCTGAACTAAATTAACCTGAAAAGCAGAATTCAGCCCGACGGACCCTCGTTTTTGGGAAGGAACGGGCCAACGTGGGAAGAGAGGGTTTACCAGGAGCCGTCCCCGCCGTGGATTTGCTTTCGGGGGTTGACAGCACCCAGTTTGCCCATTTTGGGGGCGTTTCATGGAAAAACAGCTCCCCGGGGAGGGATGAGTCCTGGTGCGGGATCGCGGGGACGGGGAGAAACGGGGTGGAAAACGGTGGGTTGAGGAGTGCTGAAAAAAGAGGGGTTTCAAGCCGGCAGAAAACCGGTGGAAAGGGGCCTGGAAGCGCCACCACGGTGCACGACCCAGGGTTTTATAAGAAATTGGCCCAAAAATGGGCTCGGCGGACCCCAATCTCAGCCCCTTTGTGAGAGCAGGTTAATAAAAAAATAAAATTCTGGCTGCGGGGGGGTGCTGCGGAGTCTGCGGGGTCCCCACGTGCCCCCCAAGTCCCCACACACGGCCCTCACATCGGCTTATCCGCCCCCAAAATCGCTGTTTTACACCTTTTCCCCCTCATTTTTACGCCTTTTCTGCCCATTCTTCCGCCCATTTTTATGCCTTTTCTGCACCCTTTCGTGCCTTTTCCGCCCGTTTTTACGCCTTTTCTGCCCGTTTTTACATCTTTTCCGCACAGTTTCGTGCCTTTTCCACCCATTTTTACGCATTTCCGCCCATTTTTACGCCTTTTCCGCACGGTTTCGTGCCTTTTCCGCCCATTTCTACTCCTTTTCTGTGACGTTTTACACCTTTCTCACCCATTTTTTCGCCTTTTCCGTGATGTTTCGTGCCTTTCCCGCCCTTTTTTATGCCTTTTTCGCCCATTTTTGCAGTGTTTCGCACCTTTCCCACCCTGTTTTCACACCATTTTCCACGCTGCTTTCTCAGCGTCTCTCGGTGCCGTTCTGCACCTTTTTGGCACCATTTTTCCCGCGGTTCGGAGCCATTTCCACTTTTTTTTCCCCGCGCCGCTTTCGCCGCCTCCTCTCAAAAGTTCATCGGAAGCGGGGATTCACCCCCGGCTTCGGCAGCGATTTTTGGAGGCACCAACACCCACCATCAAAATCCGCCAATTTGCCAGAAACCCCAATTCTTAATGTGCAAAAGGGGCCAGATAAGGGAAAAAAAATATTGATTAAACCACAAATATTTCAGCGGGAAGTTCTTGAGCTTCACCAACATCCCCCAGTGGGTGGAAAGAGGAGGAAAATGGATAAAAAAATGGGGTTAAACATCGCGGATTTTGCCACTGGTGGGGACGAAGCAGGTGCGAATTTTAAGCTCAAACGCCGCCGGGTTTGAAACCGCCCAAAACTCACCTAAAAACGGGTGAAAATCGAATCCAGCACCAAAACAGCGCGAAGAAACTGCACTCCCCGCCCCAGCGCTGGCCACCGAACTGCATTTCCAAGCGTGGCTTTTTTGGGGGAAAAACTACCCAAAATGCCACTCGGGTGGTGATTTTGGGGTTTTTCACAGTCCTAAATGGGTGGAAACGAGCCCAAAACTGGGAGGGTTTGGTGTTTTTTGGGCTTTTTCAGCAAAATAGGGTGGGTTTTTCACCCTCCCCCTCCTCATCCAGGCTGCTGGTGGCGGCAGGTATCAAACGCCACCGGCGAAACCCCGATTGATGGAAAACTGTCGGGAAAACGGG